TGATTTCAGGAAGACCTTTGAGAAAGTGCTTAAAGATAAAATAAAGAAACATGGTTTATAGAATAGCCCAATGAAGCAAGTGTGAAGCTCATTTCAACAACTTTATTCAAAATGTGTTAATAGCTGACTGATGTTATCTGAAAGGAAGATACATCAGGCTTTCCATGTCATTAAGCAACTTTTCATGGATAACTTGGCCAAAGACATATGAAAATAATACCAGATTAGTAGGGAAAAACAAACTAAAAAGTCAAAAAGTTCTGGATAAACTACAACAAAAAAGGCAGAGTTAACAAAATTTAACAAATAGGATTGCCCCCTACCTTAATCTCAGTTTTACTTTCTATAGTTACAGTTACTCACCATCAACTATAAACTGAAAATACTACAATAATGTGTGGTATTTTAAGAGGAGCACATTCACAAAATTTTCATAACAGCATGTTGATATAATTTTTCAATTTTATTGTTAATCTTTTACTGTGTCTCACTTATAAGGTAAAATTTATCATATGTATGTATGTATACGAAGAAACATAGTATATATTGTACAATATGGGTTCCATGGTTTCAGGCATAGACTGGGGGTGACCCTCATGGATAAGGAGAGACTACTCTATAAATATAACATCTACCTTTATATAGAAAAAATTAAACTCTCAGACCTTTATATAGAAAAAAATTAAATTCTTGAAAGAAATAAAACCACTGTCAGAAGAAGACCTGGATTGAATAGCTTGAGTTTAGAAATGTGTAGGTTTTAATTACTCACAAAATCAGTACAAACCAGAGTATGGCAAGGTTATCATAGGTAAGATAATGCTAAACTTTAAATAAAAAAAAAGTAATTATCTGAGTATATTATGGGATGGTCACATCAGAGAGCTTTGTTTTTTTTACAAGATGTTTTAATATCAATATTTTATTGGAGTTACCTCTAATCTAGAATATTCATAGAAAATAATTTACAGATTTGATTTTGGGGACTTTGTTGGGTTGGCAAATTATATTTAGTAATTCAGTCCAATCCTCTTGCTGAAAACAACTAAAAAGATTTGATGAATGATAAATCCTTCATCTTAAAAATGTCAGAGTTAATAAAACAGTAGGAAATTTCCAGATTGAGTTCTAACAGAGGCAATGCTTTGTTTGTTTGTTTCCCCATTAGCATCCCTTATATATATGCAGTCTCTGTCCCCCCCTCTTAACTTCTGTTATCAGTGTTAATTAATGTCCACTAGGTTTGTAATCATTTTTCTTTATCAAGTTGTCTGCTATGTAAATGTCCAGTATTTGTTTTTATTATTCTCACTTGCTTTACTGGACATAATTCTCTCAAAGTTCTTCCATTTTGGTGAAAATGACTGCATTTCATCTTTCCTTGTGGCTGGATAATATTCCATAGTATGGATATCCCACATCTTTTTGATACAACTGTCAATTGATGGACATTTAGTTTGCTCACATATACTAGCTATTGTAAATAATGCTACAGTGAACACTAAAGTGCAATAGTTTTCTGTGTTGTTAGTTTCATGTTCCTGGATAAACAGATGCGTCAAGAGTAGGACTACTGGGTTGTATGACATTTCCATTTTTAGTTTTTTAAGGTAAATTCAGATTGCTTTCCATAATAGCTGTACCAGTTTATACTCCCACACCAAGTTTTTTTATTCTAACTAGAAATTTAATATAATCATAAGAATTATTAGAAATATTCTAAACTAATATTTCCCAAAATATGATCTGAGAAGGTAACATAATAGAAGAGTTCTAAGGTCAAAAAATTTGGGAAAATCTGGGTTAAGCAAAGTTATACAAGTTTCTATACTGCAGTATTTCTCCCTACTTTTGATATGACAGGGTGCACTGAAAACATTTCTGTGTGCAGGCAGCATCGACCATAATGAAACACTTTTTCATGTTGCAGATTTATAAGACAGGTTCTTCAGAATAGTTTTGGAGAAAATTTTGACTAATTCTAATTGTGACAATCTCAAAAAAACACTCAATTTGTCTTCATTCTATCTGAAACCTCAAAGGAGCTGGTCATGCAATTCAAATAAACATTTTCATGAGGATAAAATAATTTTTAAAAACTATCACAATTTACCTCAAAGGTCTTCCTTTTTTAGAGCAGAAGTACCATTCTTGCATTATACATACTTATAACTTAAATGATCTAGCCCAAGTTCAGGTTCTGACAAGTTGCCAACTAAAGGGAGAAAGGTGATAAAGAGTTTCAAAATCCTCCTCCCCTGGCAAACCCGAATTCCTTTAACAACCTGTTAAGAGTACATGAACTTGGGCCTCCCCGGTGGCGCAGCGGTTGAGCGCTGGGTTGCGAGGCTGCTTGTGGCCTCTGCGGCGCCGGTTTGATCCCCGGCTGCTCCCCGGCCACCGGAGGAGGGTCCCACATGTTGCGCAGACCTCTCCTGCCGCCCGCTGCTCCCCTCAGCAGTGTACTTCGGTCCTTCTGCCTGCTCTGCTCCCCGCTCTGGCTCTGGTGAATTCTCTCACCCTCCCGCGCTTCTGACTATGCCCAGTGCGTGTATAAACAAAACAAACAAACCAGCAAACAAATAAATAAAAGCATGCCTCTATTACAAAAAAAAAAAAAAAAAAAAAAAGAGTACATGAACTTGTCTAAACACTTCAGGAAGATCTTTATAGTTAAAAATGTTCTAACCCTTGCAGTACTAAATTCAGAAAGTTGTTTTTTTTTTTCTTATTGCCTTGAGCAAATTTCTTAAATTCAGTATGCTTCAGCTTTTTATTTATAAAATAGGAATCATAATAGGGCTGTTGTGAGGATTGAATTAAAGGAATTAATCCCTCACAGTGATTGGCACATTATAAAACCTCAGTAAGTATCAACTTTTTTGTGTCGCAAAAAAGAGTAATTTGTTGGGGTTTTTTTTTCCCCCGATCTATATTACCACCTTCATTTTAAAATTTTAAAGCGTTCTTGTTTATTTTTTCACAATATAGGATTTTTCCCCTCAGGTGTGGTCACCATACTTTTCCCACCACCAAAGCACCCATAGTCCCTCACACACACACACCCCCTTTCTTCTACTCTCCCTCTCCCACTTCCCCTACTGAATGTCTCAGATCTATGGTCTGCTTTAAATAACAAGACCTACTGTGTGAATTACCTAGCACTATACCTAATAGTTATTGGCACTCAATTAAAATGGTAATGAAGGAAGCTGTGGTCTTTCTCTCTCTCTCTCTCTCTATATATATATGTGTGTGTGTGTGTGTGTGTGTGTGTGTGTGTGTGTGTGTGTTTATGTATGCATATATGCATATGTATACATATGTGTGTGTACAATTTTATATATATATGTGCGCATATATATATATATATATATCCAGTTACATCCTACTTGATTACAAATGTGGCAATTTTCACCTTACAAAAAACCTTTCATTCTGCCCAACCTCAAAAAAACTAGAGTCTAAACCAGGAAATATCAGATTATTGGAACTAGGAATTAACTGCCACCTAATTTTTCATACCATTTTCCTGATTATCACATTTATTAGTGTCTATATTCACATTCGAAAAAATTAATCTTAGAAATGTTTAGGGACTTGTTTGAGGTATTCAACAAACCAATAACCAAGTAACAAGGAACACTGCTCAATTATTTCACCTACAAAATCAATAGTAGACAGCTACTGGTGATGAGAACTAATCCCTTTCCTAAGAGCTATTTAAACAACAACAAAAAGTGCTGAGTTTTTCTTTTGTACTAATAAAACTATCAAAAGAAAAGGAATGAGAATGTACAAAGGAAAGGTCACTCTACTTTAGGGTTAAAATAAGCATTAGTGAGTAAGATAAAGAAACAAAAAAAGGTTTTGCTCAGCAATTAGAGAAAAAGATTTTGACAAGAAGGTCAACCAGTCAAGGCTATCATTTGCTTAATGGAGTAGTGATAATATAGACATCAGGCACCTTTTAAAATGAAGAAGTATTTATGGACAAAAGAGTAAGGGTCCTATTTAAAGCAGGAAAGAAAATAGAAACTGCAAAAGATTCTTTGCAACCTTTACATCTGAACAGTTGTTCAAACTAAAATTTAAGAAAGTAAAAGGCTTTAATAAAGTCTCTTTCTGCTAAACCTTTGCTAGATGGATTTGTCTAGCAAAATAAAGCAAATAGAGTATCTTGTTGCTTTTAGAGGTCCCTAGTTAAAATATATTCTTTTTTCATATTAAATCCATTTGTACATTTCATAATAGATTATTACAGCTATCACAGACTACCTATAAACATGTATTATTTATCTTGGATCCAGAGGGGCCATCAAAGCAGTATTGATTTGGCCTCCTGGTGGCACAGCTGAGCACCACGCTGTGAAGCTGACTGCAGCCTCTGCAGCACAGGTTCGATTCCCAGCCGGCCAGGGAGAAACCCACATGGCGCAGCAGACCTCACCTGCCTTGCCCGCTGCTCCCCTCAACAGTGTCTTTGTTCTGTCTGCCTGTGCTGCTCCCTGTTCTGTCTCTGGTGAATTCTCTCACCCTCCCATGCCTCTGACTGTTCTTGTATAAATAAATAAAGCTTTAAAATAAAAAGCAGTACTGACTTAAAAAATAGATTAAACTTTCAACATCTTAAGTTTAAGTTTTCTCTGTCTCACATTATTTATATTTATGTATTTATTATCTCCATTATCTGTATAATTATGTTAATATATATTTATATAGGTCGCAATAAATGGTCAAAACCTAGCACTTTCTCCTGTCCTTTTCCTCATCAGCAAACCATCTTCTGTTTTTTCAATCTCCCACTGGCTTTAAAACTAACTTCTAGCTTCATTCTCCTGATGTATACATTAGTTTCACAAAGCAATCGAGTCAGCTTCTGATGGGTGACACTAAGAAATGAGAATGGGGCCTGGATGCACTAGGATTGATGTCCAGTTCAGAGAATGGAATTAGAAGTGAGAACAATTCCAAGGTAAACTAAGCCATCTTTTACTTACAGCTGACACGTGCTGCAAGAGACACATGACATCAATCATGTCTGCGAGGATCAGGAGTCTGGTAACTGCAGCCAAAAGGGCCCTGGCAGCTTGAACCACTGCCTCTCTTTTTGGGAGATAACAAGGGTCGTCTGCAAATCTTTCAGCTGATATTTTCAGAGCTTCACCTGTAAAACATAACCCCAAATAAGTTATACTTTAGAAGTTTCAAATATGACTTGTTTCAGCACTTATTATCCAACCATGATAGTATAGTATTAAAATATGGCCAGATGACGCTAGGAAATTGTCATTGTCTCTTAATAAACAATGCAGTTTCAACCTGGCATCCATTTTTGATAAATGCTCTGGAGTTTAAGATGCATGATACCATTTTCCTGCAAGAAAACTATGCTCAATTGACTAGCAACACCTAGTAAAATTGCTGTCAACTATTGCATTTGTTGATCTCAGTTGCTATGAAATGTTTCATTACTAAGACTTCATACAGAAAAAAATCTTGTTTATAAAAATAAGGTAAATCTTCATGGAGTTATTTCGCAATTCAATGGATGCTAAAGAGTGAGCCTTAAGAACACAGCAGCTCTCTGTTAACAGTTTAAGACAGATTTATTCTGAACTATCTATGTATATGAATTCACATATCCTGGGTTTAGTGACAGATATAATATATTGCAAAGTACATAATTGTTAGAGACATATGTTAACTATTTTAAGGTTTTTCATTTTAAAAGTGTTACTATAAAAACAATATATATTAATTTTTAAAAGTCATAGTTCAGAAGAGTATAAAATGAAGAGTAAGCCCATCTTCACTTCTCTCCACTAATATAATTTTATAAGAGAATTACCACATCCACTTCTTTTTAAGTTTTCTAATTTATATGCTCAGTGGAATAAGCCAGACGGAAAAAGAAAAATATCGGATGCTTTCACTTATAACAGGAATATAGGGAAACCAAATAAGACATCAGTGTAAAAAATAATAACAGTACAAAACACAACAAAGCAAAATCAGACAATTATAAATCAGAGATATACTGTTGGGGAGGAGGAGGGAGAGGGATTACAGGGAGGGAGGGAGGGAGGAGCACAGGGGACTGAGGTGATGGTGCACAGGTGCCTTGGGGAAGGAAATTCTATGGGGACTACACCTGAGGGGGTGGGAAGAAGCAAATATTGTTTAAAATTTTTTTTAAATTATGTATTGTAAAACGTTAATATAAAATAAAAAAATGTTTTTAAAGTTTTCCAATTTAAACTTATTTTTACTATCAAAGCAATATGTATTAATTACTTCTAAATAAGTCACCATATTAAAGACTATAAAGTAAACGTCCCCACACTGAGCCCTCAAAAACCCACTAAGTTCTCTTATATCTATCCAGAAATTTCTCCATAAATGTGTTTTATGTGTATTCATGTGTATATACATATTTATATGTCTTTTATACTATAAATGTAAGTTTTGTATGTATGTAAGTTATGAATATATTCACATTTGTCATTCTTTTTATGCTTGAATAAAACTACACCTTAATGATATAACTTATTTTACTAAGCTTCTACTGAACAAGTCACACACTCCCAAATTTTTCCTATTCAAACATTACTACAAAGAACACCCGTGACATGTATCCTTGTATGTATGAGCAAATTTAGCTGTATAATAAATTCCCTAGAAGCATTTACTCACTTGTTAGAAGTTTAGTCTAGACATAAAATTACACAATATGCTTATCCAAACATATTAGATAACAATTAATTTAATACCTTGTAGTCTGCAATTGATATCAGTCTAAATATATTATTTCAAATTATACATATTGATAATAAATGCATAGAAAATTTTTAAATCTTGAAAATAGAATTGCTGAGTCACAAAACAGATAAGTTTTAAGTAAAATATTGCCAAAACATTCTCCAAAATAGAGCCATTTCACCAACATATTAAAGGGCCTGTATTATTTATTTTATTCTGTGAATAGTTGTGTCCATTTATTCATGAATTTCAGCATAAAAATAATGGAAAATATTATTTTTATTAAATATAACAAAGGATAGTATTCCTTATAATGACAAAGTCTGTGAAGAGGGCGTCAGACTTAACATGTTAATAAATCACAGATAACTCTCTTAAGCAATACCAAATTAGGAACTCAGTCTCTGATGTCAGACATTTCTGAAGTCAAATTCTTTTCTGTCACTATTAGTTCTGAGACATTGGATACTTAAGTACTTTCAGTGTCATCTTCTATAAGAAAGGGATAAAAATATTACTTACAATATTTCTGATATGTTTAAATAATACAGTTCATAATATGTATTTAACTCAGTATCTGTACAAGAAAAGCACTCAACAAATGTTAGCTGTTATTTTCTCAGGAAATTTCTAGTAGAGACAATAAGTTTTTAGACCAACAAGTGGTGATTTTTCTCTTCAAGTCACAACTGCTGCCTAGGAAACTGAAAAATTAAAGTGACCTCAGAAATTTTGAGGGCAGATGAATTCCCACAAAAAGATTATCTTTTCTTGTCATGATTCTGAATTGGAAAATTACAATAGCCTTTGTAGAATACAGTCCTTTATTTCATATTAAAATTAAATATGTATCAAAAATAATTCTATATTCTTGACTCAAAATGTTTGAATACTGAACTGGCTGATGAACCATACTCAGAAAAAGATTATTTAAGCATTAAACAACTACTGCAATCTTTGTCTCTGTTAAAGTAATATAAAGAGCAAGCCAAGTAGCACTGTTAGGAGAAAAAAAAAATCACTCCCTGGATATATTATTTTTTCTCAATTTTAGAACATTTTCATCACCAGACAAAGAAACTTCACGTCCTTTTGTTGCCACCCCTTCCATCCACTCATCCTCCAAAATCCTGGTTTAAAGCAATGCTAATCTACCTTCTCTGAAACACATAAATAACAATGCAGTAAATAGATTTCCTATTACTGGTCTCACTGCCTCCCTCCCATCAATATTCCTAATCCTTTTCAGGTAGTTTCAGCTCATAACTTTGGTCTCAACTTAAACATCACTTCTTCTGAGAATGCTTAGACTCCATCCCTAAGGCAGTTCTTACAGTATTTTATGCTTCCTATCACAACTCTCATCATTTATTGTAATGATGTCTATCAAAACCTGTCTTTTCTTCTGAATCGTCAGGCTTGTGAAAGAGTAAAAGCTACATTGGTCCTGGTCACCACAATATTCCCAGGATCTAGAATAGTGCATACTCTAATTTTTTCAACACATTGAATGAGTGCTGCTGAATGAATATGTGAATGAACATTTTTCAACTTCCTTTGACAAACATTTTCTGTTCCCTATATACACAGGTCCATCCTAGGCATCCCGGACAGTGATCAGTACAATTTTACAGCCCAAGAAGTTCACAAATGAGAGTCTACAAACACTGTGATACAATCTAAGCAAGGCCTTAGTAGAAACAGGTAAAAAGTACTAAAAATCACAAAGAAGAACCTACTTCTGCTTGATATGCCAGAGGCCACATAGAGAAAAGTTGTGAATTAAGTGCAACATGTTTCACCTATCAACAAAAATAGCTGGTTTGTAGACTTGACCTGTATCAGGAGAAAATGACATGTCTTCATGAAATAGAAGAAAAAGAGGAGAGAACAAATTTACTTTCTCTCTTAATATTCATTCTATGCTTTACAAATTGAGTTTATTCTTTTGAAATACTATTTTCAATACTAACACTAATTTTTCAGTTTCTCAATCTTTCTTACTTTGAAGTTCAGTGAATAGAAAAGTTTACTTTTAAAATACAAATTTAAAAACTACATCTTTCCTTCAAGAAATCCCACTCTATGTATAAATGGAATGTACCAAAGTTGTTGAAAATGTTACAATTAGATTCAGAAAGTTTTTTTATGTTCCTTTACCATAAAATATGCTTTTTAATTTTTTTTTGAAGCATCATTGGTTTACATCACTATTAGTATTTTGGAAATATGGGACCTCCCCCTTCAGGTGTAGGCACCATAACACACCCACTACCAAAGCATTCACAGTTCTCCACCATAGTCCACTGTGCTCTCTTCCCCTTTGTCTCCCTCCTCACGCCTCTCCTCTGGGTGCCTCAGTTCTACAGTCAGCTTTCAAGGGTTGGTTTTAAAACTGACTTTATATGACCCTTTGCTTGATTGCTCGATAGTCCACATATAAGTGACATCATCTCATATTTGTCTTTCTCCCTCTGGCTTATTTCTTTTTTTTTTTAAGATTTATTTATTTATGCATACAAGAGCTGGGGGACAGGCCAAAGGTGTGGGGGATGAGAGGATTCACCAGAGACAGAGTGGGGAACAGAACAGGCAGATTGACTGAAATACACTGCTGAGGGGAGCAGCGGGCAAGACAGGAGAGATCTGCTGAACCATGTGGTTAGCTCCCTGGCCAGGGATTGAACTAGTGCTGCAGTGGCAGCAGATAGCTTCACAGTGCTGCGTCTTAACCCCTTATGCCACCAGGGAGGCTCCTCTTGCTTATTTTACTTAGCATAATCCCTTCCAGCTCCATCCAAAATTAACTCTCTTACATTGTTGGCAGACTGGTCCATGCCCTATGGAAAACAATATGGAGATTTCTCAAAAGAATAAACATGGGGCCTCCCTGGTGGCACAAGGGGTTAAGGTGCAACCTACAAAGCTGCCCACAGCCACTGCAGCATGAGTTTGATCCCCGGCCAGGGAGGTGACCCACATGGCATGGCAGACCTCTCCTAACTCACTTGCTGCTCCCCTCAGAAGTGTACTTCATTTGCTCTGCCTGTTCTGTTCCCCACTCTGTCTCTGGTGAATCCTGTCACCCTTCCACACCTCTGGCCTGTACCCAGTTCTTGTATGAATAAATAAATAAATCTTTAAAGAAAAAAAAGGACTAAACATGGATCTGTCATATGACCCAGTAATTCCCCTCCTAGGTATTCTTCACTTTATAAACATACATACAGGGCCTCCCCGGTGGGGCAGTGGGTTGAGCACAATGCTGGGAAGCTGTCCGCAGCCTCTGCAGCGGACGTTCAATTCCCAGCGGGCTAGGGAGATACCCACATGGCGCAGCAGACCTCTCCTGTCTCACCCGCTGCTCCCCTCAGCAGTGGTTTCTGTCCATCTTCCTGTTCTGCT